AACTTTGGTTGCGATTTGCGTTGCGGTTTCTCAACAAACGCCTCCACCATTGATTGGTTCAGAGCCATCAGCATGAAGAGTCCAAACACTTAAGAACTATTTTGTCTCGCGATGATGACAATGCTGACTGTATTTTCGATTTCTCGAGGCGACTAGCCGTACGACGAGGTACTTGGCTGTTGTGGATGCGCTTGATGTATCACGTCGCTGAGCGGCGACCGCGCTTTGATGTGCCTTGCCGAACTTACCGAGTACTATGCACAAGACATCAACCTGTCTGGTCACACAAGATGACCGCATTTCAGGCTCATTCCGTTTAGTGCGTAAGTGCCTAGTATGGGTTGACAATTACGTACTTGTAGCACAGTGACGCAAAAGATTCCTGCAAGGGATATCGAAATTGTGAGACAGGAAACTGATGATTTGATGAAAATACGCAGCCCCATTCCAGCATTCCTTGGCCGTCACAATGTGAATCAGGCAGCTAGGCTTCCGCCATGATATTTAGTATCTTCTGCAAATTCAAATAGTTTATACTTCCCATGGCGGTGTCAGGACTTTTCATGCCATGACCTTACTTGACTACCTCCCAAGAGCATTCGCGCCCTCTCTCAGTCAATACCTGCAATGTCGTCATCTGACAATCCCCATCGTAACCCGGGACTCCTAGGACGACTTCCCAGTGGATGGCGACGATCAGCACTTCTCAACGTCGGCATCATATCAGCGGGCTTATTAACATTAGTTGGTATCCTAGGAGCGACAATGTCCGCTTCTGGGGGCGACTTCAAGAAATCTTGGGAGTTCCACAAAGCACCGTGTAGCGATATCGATGTTGCGAACACCTTAATACACCTTCCTATCAACACAGTTTCAACCCTTGTACTTGCATCTTCGAACTTCTTTATCCAAATCCTAAACTCACCATCACGGACGGCAGTTGACAAGATACACACTAAGGGACAGTGGTTAGACATTGGCATCTTATCTTTGAGAAATGCCTTTCATCTCTCCCGCTGGAAACTTTGCGTGTGTCTCGGACTGTTTCTTACTTCTATTCCTATCCACATATTCTTTAATAGCTCTATATTTGTCATCGATACTCGCATGGGAGATTTCAATATTGTTATCGCGGCTGAAGCCTTTGTAAACGGGGGAGCCTTTAACGTTCCAGGCGCTAGTGTGTCGACCAAGAAATGGAGGAATAGAGGAATCTCTTCCTCAGTTTCCGTCAACCAAACCATCGGCGACGACACCATGGTCACCGCGAGGAACTTTCCGGATGCGATACCTAACATCTCAGCAATCGCAGCTGAAGCATCAGGGTGGCAGCGATTGGACAAGGTTGCTTGCCGAAATGTCTACGCGGATGAGCATTGTGGAGGGTTAAGGGAGTTTCGGAACGTCGTTATGGTTACTGGGGGAGTCGGCTGGAATACGTCTTATTCGAATCGTTCTCAATACGCCCAGAAACCGCGGTCAGAGATCATGCCTCCAAGAGAGGTGAATACTCTTTGGTCCAGCACACAATGCAACATGCTAGGCCACACAAAAGGCGGCAAGCCCTTTTGCCACACCGATTGCACCGGAATTGTTAGGCTGCTTGAGGATTGGCCCAACTCGGTAGCAACAGTCATCGAACGGAAACCCCAGTGCCAGTCATCGGTCCCTACGCATCACCCCCTCTGCAGATACAATGTCACAGATGACAGCGTTGACTGTCTACAACCCTCTGCAATGTGTTCACCGGCGGCGATACTGACGAAGAGAGCCATTCCAAATACTGTCGAGGTCTCATACTGTCTTGCGGAGCCAAGACCGAACCATTGTTCTCTTGCCTTTTCCCAGCTTCTGTTCATGGTTGTCATCTTATCAATACTCATGAAACTTCTCATGTGCATTGTCATTTTATTGGCTCTTGGGCCTGAGGAGCCCTTAGTTACTCCTGGGGACGCTATTGCTTCGTTCATATCTGTGTAAGGAAGCCCAACATTGGAGCTGGGACTATTGACACAGGCTGATATCACGGAGCAGAGATCACAGGGGAAGCTCATTTTCAGGACACTCGGACCCAGACAGTGGATGAGGAGGGTGCATCGTATGGCGGCAGTGGTTCCTGAGATAACATGGATAATGTACTTTGGAGTGTTTTCTTTCGGTTTTGTCGCATGTACGACCATTCTCGGTCAACAGCTGGAGAGCCACACACCATTGTAAGTTGGTTCTCGAATGACCACAATATGCTTATGACGATTGACTAACTCGGATACTAAGTGGGCCGATCACTACCGATACCTCTAGAGCGAATAACATCTTACCACCTGCTGCCGGGTTCCTTTCGTCAATCCTCATTGTCAACATCCCCCATGTACTGCTATCTTGCTGGTATACCTTCTACAACTCCATCATAACTCGGATAGAGATGGCCGCGGAGTGGCATAAGTTCTCAGATGGCTATTACCCATTACGCGTTACTAGGCCGAAGTAAGTCCACCGGAAGAGAGGCAGTTGTTTAATGGGATTTCTGACATTCTTCCCTAAGGGGCCATCAGGTATCAACTTATCGTCTCCAGCTACGATACAAATACAGCATTCCTTTGATCGTTGTTAGTGTAGTATCGCATTGGCTACTTTCCAACGCAATCTTTATTTTCGTGTCTCAAGGCTGTGTGTATAACCGTGTCTTCAAACAAAATGAGGTAAATGCTGAAGATTTGCAGCCTACTATCAACCTAAAGAGACTGTGCTGGGGGGCTATGCAAAGGATTCAGGTAGCCTTCCTGATGATGCCATAGTTGGCATGGGCGCATCTCCAACACCTATCTTGATCTTGACTATTCTTAGTGCTGCAATGATTTTGTTTCTGATCATCCTATCGCGAAGGAAACTACCTGGATACATGCCAGTCGTTGGATCAAACTCTCTAGCAATGGCAGCGTCTTGTCGAGTTTCGTTGCAAGCAAAGGTTCCTAAGATTCGCGACAGTGAGAATAGAGATGGAGATGGGGAAGTCGAACGGTCCCCAGAAAGTCTAAAAGACATGACCCTTCATCCTTTGAAGTGGGGAGAACTAGGGATGCTGGAAGACTGGCGCCTATGCTGGCAGAGGAGCGAAAGTGATGCGCGAAGTGTCAAACTAGCTTGTCTTGGTTTTGGCACTGAGCTAGATAAGCCTAGAACTCCCGTTGAAGGCCGCTGGTACAAATGATCAGTCTCGGGCTTGGGCGCAGCATGTCTCACGACGAGTCTGAGTTGCCAACAACCAGTCCCCTTCTCTGAGGGCATTTTTCCTTTCTGAATTCGGCTCGGCTTCTATGTCGGTTCATTGATGCCACCAAGCCCGCAAGGCTATGTCCCGAGGTCATTCTGCGAGGCGAGCGCTCACCACGGCAACACTACAGGGACCCGGCGCCTCGGTTTTAATGGAGCAGAAGAGTTTTGTACCGAGATAATCTGAAATCAGACGCTGGCTTCGGGTAGCGATCTCTTCGGTCTCGTCTTGATATTATCTCCTCTGGGCGGTTGTGTGTGAGCAGAAGAAACCTAATAGCAACATTACGCCTTCTTGGAACCCCAACGATCTGCAAACGGATCCCAGCTTGAGTCTTCAACGGGTGTGTACTCCATCCGGTCCGCAATATTCTTCGCAAGATCCTTCCCATACACGGCAGAAATCCACGCAAAAGTAACATCAATACCTGCACTGATACCGGACGAAGTCCAAACATTCCCATCTTCTACCCATCGCGCCTTGTGCACCCAGTTCACCTCCGGCCGCAGCGCAATAGTCTGCTCCCATGACAGCTTATTCGTCGTTGCCCTCTTCCCGTCCAGCACTCCCGCACGCGCGGCGACGCCTGCGCCTGTGCAAACTGTAATCAAATACTGCAACTGAGGAAACCTCTCCTTGATAAAGTCGATGGAGGCGCGGATGCCGGCGTACCGCGTGCCTTGGCCTCCGGGGACAATGAGCACGTCCAGTGGCGGGGCCGTTTGGAATGTGTGCGTGGGAAGGATGGTCTGGCCGAAATCGGAGTTGGCGGCCGGGACCGCGGGACCGGTGGCGGGGATAGCGCCGGGCTGTTGCTGTGCGCCTGGGATCTGCTTCGTCGAGACGGGGTCCAGCGTCTCCGCGATGACGGACAGGTTCATTTCGTATGAGCGCGATAAGAGATTCAGCGCGTCTAGGGGCCCAAAGACGTCAAGCGCTTGGAAGGCCGGGAAGACGACTATGCCGAAATTGAGGGGCTTTTCTGTGAGTTGTTAGCATATTGAGGTGAAGACAAAGGGCTGGATTGTTACTCACTGCCGCCTTCGCGGTCGCCATTCCGAGACATGATGGTTGGGCTATGACTGAAGCTCCTCACGCAATAGAATGGAGCTGAGGCCGCTGGGGTGGGTCTTTTGAAGAGGATCGATGCAGCAATTCGATTTCTTATCATAGTCGGTGTACTGGAGCTCACGAGACGGCGAATAAGACGAAGAACAAGCTTTTGGCCGTTCTTCTCTAGGCTTCAAACAAGATAATCGCAGTGAGACCAATTTGAGGAGTGAGTAAGACGGAGATCGCCCGCGAATGAGAGTGTGACAGAGAGAGCTCGGAGACCGATGAGACATTTACGTAAGGTGAGGGCTTCCGAGAGAGTTTGCGGGCTGGCGGGGTGTTCGGCCGTCAGCTCATTAATAATGGTCGCGCCCAGCTTGCACGACTACCGACCCTTACATCGCGTCATTCGGAATCAGAACTAATTATGTTGTTCTCTGATGGGTTGCAATAGCCTCTGAGGGAATGTTCATTCGAATATTCGTTTGCAGATTCCAGGCTATGAGCAGGGCAGACGCCAATCTTTCGACAACCGGAGAAGTGTTTGGTCGGGCTGCAGCAGAGCGCTGAAGATGCGTTGAACATCCGCTGAACATGACCGACCTCTTGTTGATAGACATGGTCACCGTGGCCGCACTGTTTCGTTTCAAGGCAGGTCGGATGACTGAAGCATTCTTCACGGCTACTCAACTTTGATTCTCACAATCCCAGACTTTGTTTCCTCCAAACCAAGTCTCTTCAATCTTTGCATTCAACAGGCGAGCGGCATCCCACTCCATGTCCACGACAATGAAGTCCGCGAGCTTACCCACAGCCAAGCTCCCAACTCTATCCTCGGCAAATACGCTACAAGCAGCGCCCCAAGTCGCAGCAACCACTGATTCGCACAACCCCAGCTTGAAGTGCTCGTTAACCACCTTGGGATAGCTCGGATCCCGCGACGAGCGTCTGGTAGTCGCAACATAGAGATTTTGCATCGGAGCCCACGGTGATGTAGGGCTGTCGCTCCCAATCGCCATCAAAGCGCCCGCGTCTGCGAATTCGCGATACGCAAAGGCCCGTTTACAGCGGTCTTCTCCCAGAAGTCTCGGCCATTCCGTAAGGATTGAAGGGTCGGCGTGCACGGGGTGAATGGACGCCGTCAAGCCTAATTTGCCCAGTCGCTGAGCGTCTTCTGGCGATGCAAGTTCCAAATGCTCGATCCGATGCCGCCGTCCTGGGGTGCCATTCTTCTCAATCGCGTCGATCGCCATTCTGATGGCCGCGTCGCCGATCGCGTGCAGTGCGACTTGGAGTCCTCCAGCGTCTGCCTCCTTGACGACAGCCTCCACATGTTCCTCCTCCCAGATTGGCGGCGGGAGACCGGCTGGCGCGTATGGTTCTGAGAGGTATGCCGTGCACGCGTCGATGATGCCGTCGCAAATAACCTTTACGCCGACGATGCGGAGGTCTGGGTCGTTGCTGGAGTTGAATGTCCTACTCAGCTCAATAGCACGTCGGACTTGCCTTGAGTTGGCTGCGATATCTGCAGTCGGCTTTATCAACCAGTAAGACGCAACGCGAATTGACAGAGCCGGCTCTTCTTCTTTCAGGGTGACGAGAGCGTCCCAGGCCTCTTCATCCATGGCCATCTCCACCACACCAGTGTAACCGGCGGCGTTATACTCTTTGATGGCTGCTCTGATTGCTTCAATGCGCTCACGCTTCGGGGCCGACGCGGCTTGGAACGGCCAAATGACAGACATCATCGCACCCTCGTCGAGGACTCCGGTAGGTTTGCCCTGTGCATCCCGATGAATGCTTCCGCCAGGGGGGTCCGCCATCTCAGCCGCTCCCAATTTCTCTAGTGCCGCAGAGTTGCACCAGCAAGAGTGCTGAGAGCTCCCATCGATAAAGATGGGTCGCGGGTCGATATCATCCAGCAGTGCAGCGCTCACCCCGCCCGGCGTCATGGAGTGCATCCAGTTCTTGCAGAGAACTGTTGGCACGTCCGGATTAGCTGCCGCATAAGCTTTGATAGTTGACCGAATGTCGTCTATCGTTTTGCAGCGAACCAAATCGAGTTTTCTTAGTGACTGGCCCAAGAGAAGTAGGTGCATGTGTCCATCAATGAACCCAGGAAGCACCGTACGCTGCTGAAGATTTCGGACCTCAAACCCCGTGGTGTCTTTCGGTAGAACCTCACTTTGAGGGCCGATGGCGACGACTTTACCATCTTGGACAAGCATACTATCCGCGAAAGTGGGCTGGGCTTCAAGGCCAGTTCCACCTTTGGCTAGAATACGGCCATTGATGAAGACGGTACTTGCACCCATGGTGTTGGAGGTCTGGGGTTGCTATCTGGGTGCAGAGCCAGCTTGAGGGTAGATCTGATTCAGCGTGCGCCCTGCATGTTGGTTAACAGCTGATGTAGGTCTCTGAGAGATGAAAGCTTACTTACCGATAATTACAACTAACTTGTGATAATATTTCAATGAAACCCGTAGGGCCGAGTCAAAGGCTTTTATTGTCTCCTATCGTGATGCCCCATCGCTACTATCGTGGCTCTTATCTTCGATTGAGTTAACCCAATTCAATCCTAGTGCAAATAGTTTCCTCGCTTCGACTTTACTTCCCAGTGGCTTGGTGACCCACTGTCCCGGGCAGCAGGCCTTCACTAGGAAATAAATGGGGGTAATTTTCTCTCTTCGACCTTCCTTCCCAGACTACGCACGGAGCAGTCCTCGTTCTTGAGCTGAAAGTTCCCGAAGTCGGCGGAAGTATTGTGAAGCGTCAATCAATTTTATCATGTGTGAAAAGCAGCATGCATCGCCGTGAATGTGGCTTCATAGAAATCGAGGCCTGGCGGTCAGCGAATCAGACCAGAGGAAAGTTCCCGGAATAATCTTTAGATACCCAAAGGCCGGGGGACATGAGCGGGCGCGAGGGATAAAAGCAAGATCGGTACCTAGGTTTGCATGAGAAAATTAAAGTACGGCTATCCAAAAATCAATTATTGTCCAATACTTCGTCTGGCAGTATCTCTTCCGCTCCAGATACATGATGGTGTTGGTTCAGGAGGTATTGATGTAATCAGCCACGTGAACGTGATCTTCACGGCGGTGCGGGGTCATGACAAGTTAGCAAGCGGCATTTGTCATAGACCCGAACCGATCATCTGCTGGGATTTGTGAACTGGACTCAAGCAAGCACATTCAAACTCACTACCAATCTTCAATTTACAAAAGTTCTTCAACATGTACAAGTCTCAGATAACCTTCACCTTTGACACAATATGTCCTTGGTGAGTTGGCGACATGAAAAAGTCTTCGTGCTCGGTTTTATCTGCTGACGAATCTCCACTTAAGGACATACATCGCAAAGAAAAGGTGAGACTAGGATGTTTCGTACAGAAGATCAAAAGTGCCCCTTCTTTCCAACTTTATCGTCGTCGGCGGAGGAGGACGGGGAGGGCAGCATTGAGCGCGATGGCGTCTACAGCAGTGACCGACAGGCAGTGCCCGCCTGGCAACACTTTGGCTGTTGATACTTTAAGCCGCATCAACGATTCTAACATATCAGCTGATACAGGCTGGGCAAAGCCCTCGAGGAAATCGCCTCTTCACCCACAGCTAACGACGTCTCCTTCACGCTCGTCTTCCGCCCCTACCAACTATACCCGGACTTCCCGACTGAGCCCCAGGATAAGCGCCAGTGGTATGTGACTACCAAGCACGACGCTTCGGACATTAAGCAGTCAGTCTATGAGGCCACAATGTCCGAGCTTGGAACAGCCGTTGGCATTCCTTTCTCCTGGGGCGGGACAATGTCGAACACGTTCAATGCGCACCGCGTGATCCAGCACTTCCAAGAGGCCAAAGATGCGGAGACCGCCAACCGTTTGGTGGAAGCCCTGTACAGTCGGTACTTTGAACAGGAGAAGGACCAAGGTGCGAAGGAAGTGCTGGTCGACGCCTGCGTAGAGGCGGGGATTCCAGAGGCAGAAGCGAAAGAGGTTGTCGCAGACCAGACAGAGGGCAAGATTGACACGAGGAACATGATCCGCACGGCTGCCATGGATGGCGTGGATGCTGTTCCACACATAGTATTTGAGGGGAGGAGAAGAGACCTCACACTTATCGGCGCAAAAGAAGTCGACGAGTATGTCAAGGCTATGCAAACCATCATCAAGGAGAGCAAGTAGAGGGGATGAAACCAGTTCTGAATTTGCATTTATTCTTTCCGGAGCGGTTTGATTTGAAACCTTTTTTTGACTGTCGACGTTTTGACATCATTCTTGCCGCCCCCCCTTAGTATCTTTCCAGTATCCACAAGCGTCTCTCATCAACGCTCAGAGACTCCAAGAACTTCATTTCCTCCTCCTTGACCGTCGCGTACCTCTCAATGAGCTCTTCACCAAGGAGCTCATTCATGACCTCGTCACCCTTCAACTCCTTGAGAGCCTCAGGCAGCCCAGCAGGAAGCATCTGCTCCACGCCCAACTCCTTGCGATCATTCTTCGTCAGAGAGGCAGGGTCGACCTCGCAGTCTCCACAGGTCAGCTTCTCGCCCTTCATGACGCCGTACGCGCCAGCACCCAGTAAGGCAGCAATTGCGAGGTAGGGGTTCGCGAGTCCGTCCAGGCACTTGACTTCCCAGTGGCTGTCCTCGCACTTGCGCAGGGGTGTTTCTCTATTCTGAGTGCCCCAGGTCACCCACCGGCCACCGGCCCAGCAGCCGTCCTGGACACGTTCGTAACTGACGGGGTTGCTGTATGTCAGCGCCGCGATGGCGCGGAGATGCTTGAGGATGCCGGCGTAGAAGGGTCCGTAGGTCTCAGGCTTTGAGCCGTTGGGGGAGGTGATGGACATGTGCACATGAGCCGCGGTACCACAGGATTTCGGGTAAGGCTTTGGATGGAGGGACATCCTGTAGCCCTCTGACTGAGCAATGCCTGATATGACCTCTCGGACGTATAGGAGGGTATCTACGGCCTCTAAGGGGGGAGCTCGAGGGAGAACGACTTCGAACTGACCGGCGGCGCTTTCAGGGTGGATTTGCTCGATGTAGATTCCTTTTGAGTCCAGCTCAGCGACTGCGCGCTCGATAACCTTGACAAATACGGGGTGGTCCATCATTCGAGAGGTTGACCAGGCATGGCCGTCGTTCCTCAATGTTCGATACTTCTCGGGACCGTCAATCCGCTCAAGGAGGAGTAGCTCAATCTCGAATCCGACGTGGAAAGTGAGACCTCGACGTGCCGCATTCTCGACCACTCGTTGGAGCAATGACCTCGGGCATAAGGGCACCACCGAACCGTCCTGCTCTCTGAAATCTCCAAACACGCTAATGTGGCCGCCACGGGGACCCTCCTGGAGAGATGTGAAGTCTGGATGCAGCCGGTATTCTCCCGTGCCGGAAGCTCCCGCGACGACCATGTCGTTCTGAAGCAGACCGAGACTGGCCTTGGTAATACTGATTGAGAAGTCTCCATCCTCGTTCATCACCGATAGGACCTTTCGCATGGGCACGGCCCGAACGCGTGGGGTAGCGGTCATGTCGTTCCAGTAGATGCGAAGGTATTGCGGTGGCTTCTTGCCATCCAGAAATGCCTCGAGGATGTCCAGATCACTTCTCCCAGACAGCCGTCGAGGGTTCATGTGGCTTTCTTCAGGGCTGAAGGAGAATCCCAGGTGGTAGATGTGGTTCGAGTTGTTGAAGAGAACGTCTTTCACCAGCTGGGTCGCCTCTCGCCAAGTCATGTGGCCTTTCCGAGCGTACTCGCACAAGACCTGGGCTAAGTCAGCATCCATGTCTTCTAACATAGTAGCGTGTAGTTGGTACTGACCTTCTCCATCACCTCTTTGACTTGCAAGACGGCCAACAGGTAGGTCTCGGGAAACCAGTGTCCGTCGGTGCTCCAGATGATCTTGGACCAGGGGCACAGCTCTAGTATTTGACGGAGTGCAGTTTCCTGGCCATCGCGACTGAGAAAAGGGAAGATTTCGCCGATATCTGCGTAGACGTTGGCGTAAACACACGCCAGGTACCCAGCTTCTCTCGTATACGGGTAGCTGGCATGGAGCAGGACAATCGGCACCGTGGGGTACTGGCGGATGAATTCCTGAAGATGTGCAGGAGAGGCCGAAGTAAGAGTGATGTCGTTGTCGCCCAATCCCGTGTGAAATTGGATGGGTTTCTTACCCGAGCCTTCGGTATTTCTGATGAGGCATGCAAGCCGGTGGACCAGGTACTCATTGAGACCGGGGTGGTTGACGCGAGTGAACGCGTTGTCGGTTCCCTTGGTGTGAGTCGCGTAAATGCCCTCGAAGGCCTTGCGGGCGAAAGCAGCATCTGGCTTTCTCGGAATTGCGAGGCCGGTGCGGTAGCATATGACGGACTTGAAGCCGACGACCTCTGGATCCGCGATAGCTTCCAAGATGCTGCTATCGAACGCCTTCAGCGCCTTGTCGAAGACGGCGTTGGAGTCCTCCGCCGTACGAGCTGTACCTTCGTCGACTGGAAGGTGCTCGTTGAAGATGTCAGCAGCGATCTTTTCAATTCGCACGATTCTCTTAGCGGGGCTCCGAGTGAGACTGCTAAAGTACGTGTAAGGATAGACAGCGTTCTCGCCGTCCAACCCGTCGTCAACAAGGACGGACTCGATGCCATTGAGACATTCCTCAACCCATGCATCGTAGTCCTCGATGCGCTTAGCTTCAATGGCATTGACCACCGCCTCCCAGCTAGGCTCGCAACGGAGCACCTTGGCCAGCTGTTTGACAGCGCGCAGATGCGCGAGACTGGTCAATGAAGCGTGAATTGCGTCTCCATGGGCTTCGGTAGTGATTGACAAAAGAGGGTAGCGGCCAATGGCCTCGAGATCCAGCAGAGGATGGGCGTGGTTGTCAATGATGGGGGTCGTCTGGATGGTGTGGCTAAGGAGAGCCTGGCCAGTCAGCTTTGCGGGATCCATGCTCGCGGAAGAAAGACCACCAGGTCGAGCAGTGGTCAGTGTAGCAGAGTTTCCCGACAGTCTTTCTACCGCGTGGACAGATGGACGAGGCTCCCCCTTGGCTATTGGTCCGGCCGGATGATGGACTTGGTGGTTGATGCTGGGAAAGATGCAAGCTGCGATTCGGAAGGGAGAGGAGGGGTAGCTAATGTGGCAGGGAAATGACGTGAGAGCTCTTATCGGCGCCCTGCATGAGGGGTGATAGACGATGTCTCATAACGGCGTCTTCCGCGGCACCCCTTTCCCTATCTGTCTCGACGGATGTTCTCCGCGGGAGGGGAAATTCGGTCTCCAAATGCCGTTTTCAGGGGACGTCACGACATGGTAACCGGCCCAGTTCATCAGTTGAATTAACTTTCAGACCCCGCAGCCAGCGCATGTCAGATATTAGCGTGAGTTCGTTCATATGGAAGCTTGTGCCCGCGGCTCATTTGGCCTAGGATCCCAAATCTAGATAGAGACAGCCATTAAGCCCAGGTATGTTCTAGGGAAAATGCCGATACTGCAGACGAGGGAATTAAAGGGAATAAGTCGCATTTTTATGCGTAAAAGTCCGAGGCAGGATTGCGGGCGGGGGCCGGTTCTCCACTTTGGTAGCGGCGCCGATCGGAGCTTATCTCACGGCGGCCCGGGGCGGGATACCGGTGTGGGATGCCGAGATGATCAACCTAAAGCCTGTGTATTTAGAAAGCGATTTGCTTGTTGAATACTCATCGCGTGACTTACAACATCGTTGTATCCAATCACTAGTCAAGATCACCAGGCGTCTCTGTGGTATTTCTTTCTGAATTGTGGGAGCTCTGTAGCTGATCCGTGCTGGCCTCCGCCCACGGAAACGTGTGAATTCTGCTAGAGGGCACTGCCATGTTGTGCTATTATATCAGACATCGAGTGAACCCGATAAACGAATGAAATCTTGTTTGGTAGCTGAAAACGACTGACAGAATTAAAAGCACCTGGGTGTGTACAGAGCCCTGAAAAGAATGATATGAGTCCGGCGCCTGGGTTCAGTGCTCTTCTATCCAAGAAGAAACAATTGCACATAACTTGCTGGTTAAGGAATGTCAATAAAGCACCGATTTCAATTTATGACACTAGTACAGGGAAGGTTTTGTGGGATGCCAACAAGACACTGTAGTACTCTTTCATCTTTAACCATCTACAGCCGGGCCAGATGGGGCCGCCAAGAATGAAAAGTTTTTATTGAATTCTGCGAAGGCTTGACGTAGTAACGTCCCACAGTCTGACTGTCAGGGAGCTGAGTCGCCCCCCTCTTTCGTCTACAATTTATCTCTCTTCCGTGTGGCAAAGGGAGCCCTAGCCCCTGAACGGGAAGACTGCCCTGTTGTTCCGCTGTTTGTTGTTCCGCTCTGCGTTGTTCTGATGTCCGTTGTTCCGATGCCTATTGGCCCCCTGTAGTTTGTCAACATCACCAGCAAGGTTGAATAGTCAATTTGTGGACAGAATTAGCCAGCGCGTCATTTGTTCGGTACTTGGTGGGCGACTTGCCTGATGCACAGCTACATCGCGCCCTAAAACAGGGGCTTCTCTTGATGGTGTGGTGTGCATAATAGTCCATTTCCTCCAATACTAACTGGCAATCCCGCTGCAAACGATTGCAGCAATATTCATGTCACTTCTTTCAAGTCTATTGAAACCCATGGGTTCCCAGTGCATGGCCAAGCAGCATTCAATCGTCATCTAGATACGTAGTAGCCTGTCTGGAATAAGGAATCCCCTCGCGAGAACCCACCCAATCAGCGGTAAAGCGCCATTGCAGCGCTCCTCCGCAGTGAGATTCGGGCGGCGATCTGGTCCGAGTACCTTTCTCGGACACTTAATCGTCCCGAGTTCCTTTCGCGGTTGGGAGGTGCTACAGCAGGTTGTACATCATTTAAGCTTAAAGAGTTTCACTTTTCGATTCCTACCCCGACGGATCGAACGTTCAAGCTGCAATTGAGTTCAATCATTGTGCTTATGTGAAGTGATACTACCTAGGCAAACCAGCCTGGCGAGCTCTGTTTGTCGCCATTAGCCGGTCCTTCGTTGGCGGCAAGGCTGGTACGTTGAAACTAACTCTCGATCTCTGTTTGAGCAACACAGAAACGTTTCTGTCTTCTGTTGCCTGCGAAATCACCTTAAGCCAAGTCCTATCCAGAAACGTGAATTGCCAACCTGGCGGAAAATATATTCCTGACTCTCGTTTGCGCCAGTGAAACGTGGCACAAGGGCCCTTTAATCTTTCCGTCGACCAGTGACCATGCCTTTTTTGGCAAGTTTTCCCCGGTGGGCGATCCTCATGAGAATCAGGTGGCATCCAGGGATCCGTGTGTATTGGCTAAGCGGTGCTTTACGACTTGAGACGAACGCCTTAGGGCGGCGTAACGGGTTAGCTATCCCGTTTTAGGCGTATATCTCCATCTTGGGATTCCCAACACGGCAGCCTACGCGCCGTATTCGATCGTATGCCAGGAGCACATGGCGCGTTTGGATCGATAATGTAACGGTAGTCAGTCCCCAGTAGGTTAGACATTCATTTACATGATTCTAACCTTGAATCCACCTATCAACTGAAAACTACGAACCAGTAGGGTGGGTTGAGCTCTACCGACCCCAGACTTTCAATAGACTGCCCAAGATGAAAACCATAAAGAAGCTCCGCGTGTCGAACACTGAGCCGGATCGCTAGTCGCTAGTCACACGCTCTTTTCCATTCCCTCGTTTCCGCTTCCAACTTCCCATTCTTCGTCATGTACCCCACAACTCTTCTTGCGGCCCTTGTGGCGCTTTCCCCTTCTCTGGCTGCCGCGCAGGTCGTTGGTACGGCCTATGGTTTCGCGACCGGCGTCACTGGCGGAGGTTCTGCTAAAGCTGCGGCGCCTTCTGACATTGCACAGTTAGTTCTTCCATCCAATCCTCTGAGTTCAAATTGTGACCATCGGACATGCACGTGCTAATACTGCGATTTATAGACTCAAGACCTGGCTGTCTGACAGCACCGCGCGTGTCATCCTGATCGACAAGACTTTCAACTACATTGGCAGCGAGGGCACCGTGTCCGAGAAGGGATGCCGTGCCAAGTCCGGCTGCAACGCCAGCAACGGTGGACAAGACACCATCGGCAAGGACTCGTGCGATGCCAACGAGAGCGAGGTCGACGTCAAGTACGACAAGGCTGCGAAGACCCAACTCACTGTTGGCAGTAACAAGAGTATCGTGGGCGTCGGCAGCAAGGGCATCATCCAAGGCAAGGGCTTGAAGATTCCCCAGGGTACCAAGAATGTCATGTACGTGACCACGCCCCCGGAGACCTGTCCTTCATTGACTAATCTTGCGAAGCATCCAAAACATTCACATCACGGTAAGGCAGATCAAGGCACATGCTATAGACTATTGACTTACAATGCCTTCAGGACCTTAACCCTCAGTACGTCTGGGGCGGCGATGGCATGAGCATTGAGGGAGTGGACGGTCTCTGGATCGACCATTGCAAGGTGAGTGAATTGATTCAACAGAAGTTCAGAAAGAGTGCTAAGACATTGGTGATGTAGTTTAGCAAGGCGGGCCGCATGTTCATCGTTTCGCAGTAAGTCCATCCATATCCCTCAATGGCCGGTTTTACAACAGCTAACGGGTTTCTCCATCAGCTTCAACCCGAGCACCTTCACCATCTCTAACACCGAATTCGACGGCGTAACCGCATACTCCAACTCTTGCAACAAGAATCAGTACTGGGGCACCATGTTCGTCGCCGATGGTGACAAGGTGACTCTTGACCGAAATTGGTACCATGACATGTCTGGTCGCGCCCCCAAGATCAGCGGCACCGGCACTACCGTCCAGGCGGTCAACAACTACTTCTCCGACAACCTCGGCCACAACTTTGACATCACCAAGGGCACCAACGTTCTGCTCGAGGGCAACGTCTTCTCCAACGCCAAGACCCCGATCAACACCGACTCGAGCTCCAGCGGTGCAAACATCTTTGACGTCCCCGACTCTGGCTCCATCTCCACCTGCAGCTCTTCGCTCGGCCGCAACTGTGTCGCCAACTCTCTGTCCGGCAGCGGCGCTTGGCCTAGCTTTAAGAGCACCGCGGCTCTGAGTGGTTTGGGCAAGAGCAAGGCCAACCTTGTCACCCCCATCCAGGCTAGCAACGTCAAGTCCACCGTGACGGGCAAGGCTGGAATCGGCAAGATCTAGGTCTTCCGTCGTCACAAGAATCTTGGAAAAACCCCACGGCAATAGCCAAGCACATATTTCCATTCTCATGTAACTTTATTGACTGCGTAAATACTACGCCGCATATTCTACCATACATACATATATACGTATTATCCAAGTTCTTTTGGTACAAGAAGACCATGTCATAAGTTTGACCGGATGTCCAAACATGCAGCATAAGCTTCATGGCAGGTGATACAAGGCGAGAAGCTTTCCCCCCCCCCTAGCTAAACATACAACCAACTTGTAATTTGGAGTTTTAGCTACCACCGCAGGCTTCCCAAACCAAAACAAACTTGGGTCGTCGGAGTGTAGCTTCAAACCTGCAAGGTTGATCGGCAAGACTTATTGTGCCATTAGCTTCAGATATACGCAGACGGCGGCATTGCCTTTTTGGGATCTCCGACGATGGGGAAGCCGATGCTTGTCAAATTCCACGCCGCCAGGCGAAAACTGGCTGGTTTTCTGCGACGCTTGTAATCAGTCCTTTGTAATTGTAATGCGAGACCGTGACATACCGATGTATTAATATTGGATGAAGATCGGGCTGGTCGGGAGGCTGCTAACCGCCGACGGAGTTTTGTTGGTACTGACGCCTGTGTGCGATCTTCTTTCGTTCACTGATGAGACAGAGTGTCCATCTGATATTGCCACAGAAATTGAATCATGATAGGAGTGATGTAATGACATGTGTAATTCCTAAAATGCATAAGAAGGCATTGGTCGCGAGCTTAGGTAGTTTGTGTGGATTTCCATTCCTTGCGCGAACCTTTCTCCTACATCTACCTTCGACCAAGTCCGCCCAGTATGGATGAGCTTCGACAAGCCTCTAATTTGTGGTATTCTCTTCGCCCTTTGCTGTCTCGTGCTGTCACCACATGCCAGATTTTCAATCCCCAATGCACCCTTGTGCCAGCAGATTCCGATATCTTGTGCCAGTATGACGTCGGAGTCGTGCTTCCCGATGGCACAAAACTTCTCGCCAACGTATTCAGATCACGCCGGGCCGAGGAGGATAGCCGCAAGGTCCCCGTGGTTATGTGCGCCCATCCATATGACAACCATAAGCTTCCAGCCTTGGGAAAGACGCCTCTTGGCGGCCCGCCGCATTGTCTGACATGACAGTAGCCATCCCCTCGCTGCCACTGAAGCCGGGAAGATTGAGATTGACAACAGCGTAGCCAGCTGGGACCCAAAAGTTTGGGTCAGGAGACTCCCAACTAGTGACATTCGAGAACTTTGGTTTACCCCCAGCCTGGGGAATCAGTCGATACTGATCAATCCAAGGCATATTATGAAGCCATCGAGTGGGTGGCGCGACAGCCATGGTGCGATGGTGCCGTCGGTCTCAACGGCGTCAGTTTCCTAGCCATCACACAATTTCACGTTGCTGCCTGCCGTCACTATGGAGGTCCGCCACCCGCATTAAAATGCATCGTGCCATGGGAGGGGCTCACCGACCCTTATCAAGACTCGATCTGCCCAGGAGGCATTGAAGATGCTGGCTTCCTCACATTTTGGTGGCACACAGAGGTCAAGCCTGCCCTTACCGGCTCTGCGGCCGATTTTATCAAGGACAACGACGCAAGCGTTGCCGGAATGCTCGTAAAGCATCCATTGATGAACACGTACTGGCGGGAGAAAGCCGCTCCGGTTGAAGACATCGAACTTCCCATGCTAGTATGTGGGTCATTCTCGGACCATTGCCTTCACACACAAGGCTCCTTCCGGGCTTTCACTCGGGCTCGATCACGCCACAAATGGATCTACACACATCGCGGAGGCAAATGGGACGTCTTCTACTCGCCCGAAGTTCAACATCTGACAAAGCAATTCATGGACTGTTTCGTCAAGGGCGAGAGTAACAACGGCTTTCTATCCCATCCACCCGTGACGCTTGAGGTACGGTCAAGTCGGGACGTTATTCATGAGCGGCGGGGTGAGAAGGCTTGGCCATTGCCAGGAGTTACTTGGTCTAAGCTGCGTCTTGGCCCTTCCGGTCTGTCACGATCAAATCCAGAGAAATCAACCGAGCTATGTTATGAGTGTACCAATGGCCAAGTCAGTTTTGACTTCCGGTTTGACCAAGACACGGAGTTGACAGGAGAGATGAAGCTTCGACTTTGGGTCGAGGTTCGCGGGAAACCCGGACAGAGCCCTGTACCTAATGACCTCTTCCTATTCACCGCCGTTGATAAGCGCGACGTGAAGGGGAAGCCGGTTCGCTTTCACGGGTCTGTCGGGTTCACTGATGACTGGGTTACTCGAGGGTTTTGCCGAGCATCACGTCGTGAGCTGGACCAGATACATTCAAAACCATGGCTCCCTGTCAGCTCTGGCATCTCGGACCAGCCGCTTCGGCCTGGCGAAATCGTTCAAGTCGACATTGCACTGTATCCAAGCAGCACATTCTTTTCGGCCGGAGAATCTATCCGTCTGGTAATATCCGGCCAAGAAATCATCCGTAATCCGCCCTACCACAAGAAGGTAGCGGCTGGTCCTGAGAAGTGCGTTATGCATGTTGACGGGAAGTATGATAGCTTCTTATTGGTCCCGGAGTCCTCCTTGTGAACATCACAGGCTGAATTTGACTGCGAGTTTGAGTTCACGATGCAGGATAAAAGATGCATCCACCGCACTTAGGTGGTAATTGTTTGTTTGTACGTCAAGGGGACTTATCTAGATCTTTGTTTGCCCCAAGACTATCTACACGAATACCTATTCGCATTCATTAAAATTTCAACGGGGAAAGATTTGCCTTCGCAATAGTATTCCTATCGAAGACTAGAGAAACAATGAAAATTAACCTGTTCTTACCGGTACCCCATAGTCGGAGATATACGAAGCATATTTGTGCCCCTTGAACTGAAGTGTAGAGTTGAAGACATTTGATAATTGTGGCCCTATCGTGTGGCTGATCGGGCGCTAAATCACTGCGCCATGGAGGCCTGAGGTTGCCGTGAAGAGAATTGTGAGGCTCAATTCACGACTGTCACCGAAATGTTTTAGGCATACATGCGAAGTATTTCTCAATAAGGTCTAGTCACTCAAGATTGACAGTCACATGGGAGTGATATTTTGAGGCAGTGAGAGATAACGAGCTGATGACTTCCGTATTCTGTTTAGCATTGCGACCCCTCAAGCAGCCTCGTGGCAACTTCGATGTCGGCACGGTGTTGCACAGCGGGAGCCTGCATGATTCCCCTCAGCTCTTATCAACGAACGCAACCAATGATCCGTACCTTGCAAGAAAATCTCACCCGAACTCCGGCAGTCAAACCTCGTATCTGGGCAGTGCTAGGCTGACCAGAGGGAGGCCGCCACACAGGCTGGCGTGGGCGCCGCTGGAAAAGAGTACAAATGTTCGCGCCCAACCATTCCATCTCCCATGGTTTGACAAGCTATGTAAACTGATGCCACTTGACCTTAGAATTTCCGCAGCTCTGCCAGGCCGGTCACTCCTCCGGCTTCCAATAACAGTCGAAACCCGATCCTAGATACCGTTGCACACGTGTCACATAGACCAACACAAAGCCATGGTTTCACTCGGCCAGAACGCAACACTTTACTTCGATGATATTGGGAATTTCTTGGATAGAAAGATCGTACCAACTAAGGATACTAGCGGTGCTGACAATTGGTACTCTAAGTGCACCCACAAGATTCACGATGAGTGGATCAAAAACAACGCGACAAGTCAAGAGAATATTGCAGAAGGCCTCATCATGGATATTCATGGCAACAGGCTATTTCATGTAGAAGAGAACAAAAGAATCGTCAATGATTCCTGGGGGGTCAGTCTGTCTCTTTGCAGGGACTATTGCAGCCGCGGACACATCAAAATGGTAAGCTTCAACATCCATCCCTGTCTGTCACAGTTACTGTGAGACAATCGCCAACGTTATCTTACTGAATTATCAGGCCACGAATTTCAATCGTTTCGCTGCCGGGTCAACAAGCTATCTTCTTCCATGGCTGGCCCTTACGGCGCAGCTGCCATACGAGACAGGGGGTATCGACTCTGACATCTTGAGTGTCTGCGTTGGGCTTGGAAGTCCCATGCTAATGACAATTTCACTCATGATCACGATCCTGAATAAGACGTGGATTCATAAGGCATTCAGGAGCCTTAAAAGCCGTCATAGAGTGTATTTAAGGGAAGACAGGGGAAAAATGTCAGAAAGAGCAGATGCTGCTGTGGTAATCGCTGAAGTTGCACAACAAGCACCCACTCGTCTCAAACAGACAGAACAGTCGCTGGCCAGAGAAGTCTTCCTGGACAAACACGAGCGGTGGTGGAAACAAGCTCGAGACTATTTAGAGTCTACTCGACGAGGGGTAACGCTGTCACTTGTGGCTCAGATGTCAGTAGCAATCATAGCTTGGATTTTCACGGCGGTAGGATCCCTGCAAACGAAAGTGGGCAATACTGAGGAAGCCCTTATTCTTTCCTCTGGATCTCTCTGGATCTGGCTGGTATGCAAGCTTTTACTTACCTGTGAGGATATTTGAGGTCGAAAAAGGCCAGTGCTAATTGCAAAAACAATCTAGGTTCCTGTCATATGGGGCTGGATCCTTGTGGGCACACAGAACAAAGCAGAAACCATGCAAACGGCGCTCGACGATGAGACTGGGCCTGACGGCTATCAACCTGGAATTGAAGTTGCAGGTGATTTCCTGGCTGATCCACCATCGTCATCCGTCAACGCACAGGATTCGGTAAATGGAAATGAAGATAGTCGCCGTACACCCCCAAATCTCTGGATATTCAATGTCGCTGGATTCCAGAAGCAAGAAGGACCAGCCTTTAATTACGCCCGTACGCTGACCTGGATCAACTTCGCCAATAATCTTCTCATCGCATTTGAGGATGCGATTCGTCCGCACGAATTGATATCAGCTGGTCCGCAGCAACCTGCATCTCAAGCTGATTCACAGTCATCTCCAGCAGGATCTCAAGCCAATCCCACACATAACAA